GAGTTTTTCGCTGGTTCGGACTCCTGGGGCCCTCCCTGGAGACATGTCAGTTTGCGCGGCCAGAGCTGGGGCCCCCCCCGGTGTCCAGGACCTGTTTCGGCCAGCACTTGTCTCTTACATGCTGAATTTATGACGGAGTCAGTTCGTCTTGCTGAAGCAAGCGTGCCGCTGGTTGGTTCGTCAGTTCACGCTCGGGGCATCGTAGAGTACGTCTTCACAGAGTACTGACTACCAGAATGAGGATGTAAGAGATGGTCCCGTATAGAAGTATTCCCACGACAATATTTCTCGCGCAGCTCGGCTCTTCATCGAACAGTTGGTGCTTCCAATGGAGGGACACAATCATCATCTCCGCGCAGATCTGGGCACTCATGGACGAAATCATCTTTCGAAACGTTCAGAACGGCTGTCGCTGATGCACTTGATTTGTCGCCACCCAGCGATTCCAGTTTCTCTGCAGACCTCATCATTCCCACACCCTCAGTCGCGCAAACTTTCACCTTCGCCTTCGAAGGAGTTTCCATTGCCAGGAGGGGCGCGAGTTTTTGTCAGGATCCCTGCGTCGAAGGCTTCGTTGTTGTCAAACACTGGCACCTCTCGCTCTCAAGCGGCTGCGGCTACGTGACGCGAAGCGATGATCGACACGAGCATGCAGGAACCTCACGTGCGATTGCAGAATCAAGAGAGGACGGTTGCGCAAACTCGTCATTTTCGCAGCCTTCGCGCCTCGACAGGAGCGCCTGGGACCAGGATAGGGGGCGGGGTGGGGGCCGCGCGGTCCACGGCACGCCCCCCGCCCCGCTGCGCAGGGCTGGCAGCATGTTCGCTGGGCAGTACTACGGGAGCGGCGAGACGTGGTCCCAGGACTGGAGGAGGAGGAAGAGGAGAAGGAGGTGGATGAGGAGGAGGAGGAGGAGGAGGAGGAGGAGGAGGAGGAGGAGGAAGAGGGGATGGGGGATGAGGAACAGGGGCAGGAGGAGGAGGAGGAGGAGGAGGAGGAGGAGGAGGAGGTGAAGTCCGCAGCCATTGTGGCTCAAGCTCTATACCCTCGCCTTGGGGCCTAGAGCTTGGTTGCAGCCGAGGGGCTGGCCCGAGATAGCTTCTGACATCAGGTGTCTATCCACTCCGCTCACCTCCCCCTGCCGTGAGCTCGCCCGATCGGCGGCAGGCCGCACGTTTCCCGCGCTGGCTGCTCTCTTGATTGCGAGCTGCTCATGGGAGCAGATGGCGAGTTCGCCCACTGCAGCCGATGTGGGTGCGGGAAGAACCTCTCGTGGTGGAGGTGGTGCACGCACTGCCGCTCGCCCTTGCGCCAGCAGATGTCCAGGGAGCCTCCTCTCCGTGGTGCCGGCCGCACTCGCGACCGCTCGCCTGCCCCAGACGCCTCGCCCTCGACCTGGAGGCCCTGGCATCGCACAGGACAGCGTCGGCCGTCCTCTGCATCGCGAAGGGCTCCGAGCGTCACCTTCTCAGACGGCACAGCACCTGGCGACGAAGGCCAAAACGAGATGGAACCTATCGGCGAACCGCGCTTTGTGGCACTCGCAGGGCTCCTCACGAAGTCTGGCGACTCCGACGGCGCGGCCAAGTTTCAGAAGCAGTTTGACGAGCTCCGCTGTGCCAGCGAGGAGGCCCCCATCTCCGTCGGCCAGGCGACGCAGAAGGTCAAGCAGGCCGAGGCGTCCCTCGAGAGAATTTCTCGAGCGGTTCGAGCGCGTGGGGCGTCGGTGCAAGGAGACCCAGGCTGAGGTGGTTGCACCATCTCATGAGGTTGACGTGGCGCGCGCATTGTGCCAGGCAGCTGTCCGACGGCTGGCCACGTCAGTGGCCGATGGGGAGGGGGGTGTCAAGGCCGCATCGGCCACGCCTACTACCGACTTGGCTGCGCTGGTGGAGGGACAGGAGCTACGCCTCGACGACGGCGGGCTCTTCGGCCTGGACAACTTTGACGAAGTCATCACGCAGAGTGACAAGGCTGAGGCTCAGAGGAAGAAGGAGGAGCTCCAGAGACAGTGTACCGAGGCAGCCAAGTCCTGCTTCGGATAACATGCCAAGAAGCCTGATGCCATCCAGGAGGGGCAGGCCAGGCATAAGGAGAGACTCAAGGCCAAGCGCAGCCGCACAGAGGCTGCCAATGGAGAACAGGACGACAAGGCCAAGGACGCTCCAGCAGATGGCCATCAGCCGGGGTCCGATGCCGCCCAAGGCAAGGTACCGCCGAAGGCACCGCCCAAGGCGCTGCCTTCCAAGGCGCCTGCAGCAGCATAGCCTCCTGCTGCGACATCAGGGGCGGCTCGGTCTGCGGTCGAGGCAGCCAACGCCAAGCTCGCGCCTTCCAGCGCAGCTGCGGCCAAGGCTCCGACGCCGGGGGAGCAGCGCCAATGCATGCGGCAAGTTTCGCAGGCAGTCTTACGTTTCAGGTTTGACGGCTATTCCGTCGAGTGTTGGTACAGAGATAGATGATCGCATATACCAGTGGGGACAGTGGCGTGATGTCGGCAGGCCATGGCACATCCCAACCACTGCAGTTTTGGACGATGCGAAGATTGGTCGATCACTGCGCGCATTTCAGCACCAGTCTCGGGCGATTATGCTCGGCAGCGTGAGTGTTCGGCCGCACACTATTACTACTACGACGACGCCGACGGCGCCGACGACGACGGCGACCAGGTCTGGATCGGGCACCATCGGTAGACCAAAGACAACGTTGGCAAGTACAGGGGCATGGCTGTCGGCACGAATGGCTACTCCCTGTGCAGCTTGCGTTGGGCCCTTCGATTGCCGCGACGACGTCGATTACCCTCCAGACCCGTACGGCGTGGGTGTGACATCAAGGGGAGGTCGACCCGATGCCAGTGGCATGACATCGCATTGGGGGTGGTCGATTGATGTCGGGGCGGGTCAGACCCGAATTCCCGGCGTGACTATCTTTGGGGGCAGGCCCAGGTATTCAGATTTCGTAATAAAAGGGAGGGGGTCTGGACCCTCTAAGACAAGCGATTTCAGACCCCCCCCGTGGGAGAACCCTCCAAAACATCGTCCCCAGACCCCCCCAGGCCCTCCAAGATAGCCTGGATGAGACCCCCCCGAAATGAGACCCCCCTCCCTTTATTACGAAATCTGGAGTAGGCGCGACAGTCGGCCAGATGTCAGCATGGAGCCGTCCTTGTGCCTGCGCGCAGCCGAGGCTGCTCCCAATGCGTGCCACGTGGGTGGGCTGCTGGGCGTGCTCCGCAGCCTGGCTTCGACCTGGACCCTGGCATCGCCCGATCCGGCGTGGCACTAGGAGGCTACCGACCCAATCGCGTGGAGGGGCCTCTGCGCCCCGCGTGTTCCCAAGCATGCCTTCCCGTGCGCTGTGTCCCAGCCTCGTTCTTACCGCCCTCTGGACTGCAAAAAGTGTTCCTCAGCATCTGGCGGGCTCCGAGCTCGCCAGGGTGGTCAGTCATGTCGCTGACGACTCCCACCGGGGCGGCCTCGTCAGCGCTGGGATGGCCACGGCGGGGTGTTCTTGCGCGAGTGCCCTGAGGGGCCGTGCGAGGGCTCGCGCTCGGCGCCGCCAGTGGCGCGCTGCTTTGGCCGCCGAGTCCGACCCTGGCGATTTCGACGTCGAGGTCCAGCGTTGCCTGGGCGCCCGAGTTGACGCCGAGCGCTGGCTTTTTGTCCGCTCGATCTGCAGCGGGACCTTTGAGACGGCTGCTGCGCTGTCGGGCACGTCCGAGACCGCTGGGGCCTCTGCGACGGCGGCTGCGCTGTCGGACCATTGTCCAGGACGCCTCGGGGGCTCTCCCGATCGTGGCCCCCCCCAGTCAGGGGGTGGACTTTCAGAAGGCCCCGACTTGCTTGCCCCTTTGGCCTTCACGTCCTTGGCCTCTCCTCTGGCGCTTTCCTCCTCCCCTCGTGGGCGGGTGGGGGTGGGTCGTCGCCGGCGTCGTTGTGGGGCGGGCTGGCGGGAGGGATCGCTACAGATCAGTGGTCGCTCGCCCAAGCGGCGGCCCGCTTCGGCCTCGCGCTTGCGACGCTGGAAGCCAGCGCAGCTCGAATCGAACGGGAGGAGGAGGAGGAGCGCAGCCAGGCGCGCCCATGCGCGTCGCACCTCCCACCCTTATCTGTACTCTGTCTCTCTCCGTGTGTGTGTGTGTGTGTGTGTGTGTGTGTGTGAGAGAGTGCGTGTCCGTGTGCGGGTGCGTGTGCGTGTGCGTGTGCGTGTGCGTGTGCGTGCGCGTGTGCGTGTGCGTGCGCGTGCGCGTGCGCGTGCGCGTGCGTGTGCGTGTGCGTGTGCGTGTGCGTGTGCGTGTGCGTGTGCGTGTGCGAGAGCGTGTACGTGCGTGCGTGCATGTGTGCTCGCGCGCTCATGTACGGTCGTCGTGTGCTTTCTCACGATGACGGTGGGTCTCACGTGTGTCCTTCATTTTGCATTAGGCTGTTGTTGGCCAGTGTATGTCACATGCGTCTCTCGGCTGGGGAAATACGTAATGGAGGAGGGGGAGGAGGGGGAGGGGGAGGAGGAGGACGAGGAGGAGGAGGAGGAGGAGGAGGAGGAGGATGAGGAGGAGGAGGAGGGGGAGGAGGAGGAGGACGATGAGGACGAGGAGGAGGACGACGAGGAGGAGGAGGAGGAGGAGGAAAAGGATGAGGATGAGGAGAAGGAGGAAAAGGAGGAGGAGGAGGAGGCGGAGGAGGAAGAGGGAGAGGAGGAGGGGGCGGAGGAGGATGAGGAGGAGGAGGAGGAGGAGGAGGAGGAGGAGAAGGAGGAGGAGGAGGAGGAGGGGGAAAAGGAGGAGGAGTAGGAGGAGGAGGAGGAGTAGGAGGAGGAAGAAGAGCAGTAGGAGGACGAAAAGGAGGAGGATCAGCAGGAGGAGGAGGACCAGTGTAAACCCACGAGCCATCAACGATGTCGGAGTACACCCTCCTTCCAAGCTCCCTCTTCATAGTCTCCTGCAACGGTTCATTTTCATTGAGGGATCTGCCACGCTGGAAGACAGCCGCTTGAAGACCCGGCAGCATGCCAAAACATTGTTCTCGGGATTCCAACGCCACGGATCAACCTGATTATTGCGTCTTGACGATCCTGCATCGTGCCAAAACGCCGTTCTTGGGGTTCCAACGCCGCGAATCAACGTGACTGTTGCGCTCGCAAAATCCCAAAGTATTCCAAAACGCAATTTCTGGTACGTTGATCGTGGGAATCCGTGAAACCGTTGCACATTTTGTGAACGAATTTGCGCGGCGCTAAAGCGAGAGCCACATTTTGAAAATTAATCGCCCTCGATCCGTGAAGCTCTTGCAATTTTCTAGAAAGAATGTGCGCGGCGCTACGGCGAGAGCTCAATTTTGAAAACGGGTGATCCTCAATCCGTGAAGCTCTTGCACATTTTTAGAACGAATGTGCGCGGCGCTAAGGCGAGATGTACATGTTGAAAACGGGTGATCCTCAATCCGTGAAGCTCTGGCAATTTTTTAGAACAAATGTACACGGCGCTAAGGCGAAAGCTACATTTTGAAAACCACCCGCCCTCCATCTGTGAAACTCTGGCCAATGTTCAAGCTTCAGAGTCATAAATGGTGAGGAAGTCTGAGGCGAAACGCCAGGCCCGCCCAACAAATCGGCATCGGGGTGCGACAGGGAGAAGTTATTCACAAGGAAAATGAATGGAATATGGAGAATTGGATGAAGCATCATAGTAGTAGTACTGTTGATAATCGAAAATAATGCTGATAAAGATATGGGAAAGAAGACGAATATTATTAGTATGGCTAATTCAGAGAACGCCACGACCAAATCTAATATTATGACGAAAAATAATACGACAATCTGAATAATCATTTTACCAATGACAATCCGCAGGCGAATGCGAATATTAATGCGAGTGATAACAGTGATCATAAGAACACACATGAGCGGAAAAGAGGTGACTCATATAATGAACACCAATACGAGTACGCACAATAATAATAGGAGTCATGCTTCAAAAATCAATACGGATACTATTAGTCATACGAGCGCTGCGAATACTAATCGTATTACTAGTAAGAATAATACGAACAACAGTAATTATATGTATAGTCATACGAGTATTCACATCAATGGGAGTAACCACAGCAGTAGTCGTAGTCGCAGTATTAGTATTAGTAATAATGGTAGTACTAGTAGTAGTAGTAGTAGTAGTAGTAGTAGTCGTAGTAGTAGTAGTAGTAGTAGTAGTAGTAGTCGTCGCAGTAGTAGTAGTAGTAGCAGTAGTAGTAGTAGTAGTAGTAGTAGTAGTAGTAGTAGTAGTCGTACTAGTAGTCGTAGTAGTAGTAGTAGTAGTAGTAGTCGTAGTAGTAGTAGTAGTAGTAGCAGCAGTAGCAGTTGCAGTTGCAGTAGCAGTAGTAGTAGTAGTAGTAGTAGTAGTAGTAGTAGTAGTAACAGTGGTAATTGTCGCAGTAGTAGTAGTAGTAGTAGCAGTAGTAGTGGTGGTAGTAGTACTAGTAGTACTAGTAGAAGTAGTAGTAGTCGTAGCATTCGTAGTAGTAGTAGTAGTAGTAGTAGTAGTTGTAGTAGTAGTAGTAGTAGTAGTAGTAGTCGTAGTCGTAGTCGTAGTCGTAGTAGTAGTAGTAGTGGTAGTAGTAGTAGTAGTAGTAGTAGTAGTAGTTAGTCGTAGTAGTAGTAGTAGTAGTAGTTAGTAGTAGTAGTAGTCGTAGTAGTAGTAGTAGTAATAGTAGTAGTAGTAGTAGCAGTAGTAGTAGAAGTAGCAGTAGCAGTAGCAGTAGTAGTAGTAGTAGTAGTAGTAGTAGTAGTAGTAGTAGTAGTCATCATAATGACAGTATCCATATGAACAATCATACTGAGACCAGCGCTGCTAATATTACGAATCGTAGTATTATTACGACTACCAATCTGCATGCTACTGATTAATCAATATTTTGATTTTTGTGTTCTTGAGAATATATGGCCAGCGTTCGTACGCAGGGTCATACGACTAATCTGGCAAGGAAACGAAAACAACGAACACTATTACGACGAACACCATTCGCAGTCTTGTTGCCGGTGATCATACCCGGAAGAACCAGGAGGCTACTACTACTAATACTAAACATACGGATACTAAAACCAGTAGCAGTAACAATGCGAATGTTAATATTATTCTTACGGGTCGTACTGATGATTCTGCCACTATTAAGGATCACGCTGCTAACACTACTATTAATAGTCGTACTACACATATTATTAGTAAATATACTGATGCTAATCCGCGTATTACGAATCTGCATGGTAATACTCGGGATGTTACTAATACTCTTACTACTAGTTCTACTAAGTATACTACTTGTAACCGTAATCATCATACTCGTCATCCTATTCATAAAATTAGTCAATATACAACACGCATAAGACGAAACTGAACACTGATGGGACATAAGACGCACGACACATAGCGATAATACATATATATAGATATATATATATATATAGAGAGAGAGAGAGAGAGATAATGGCTTAGTAATACTGAGAAAACATACTAATAAGCGGAGCAGGAGGAGGAAGAGGAGGAGGAGCAGGAGGAGCAGGAGGAGGAGGAAGAGGAAGAGGAGGAGGAGGAGGAGGAGGAGGAGAAGGCGGGGGATGAGGAGGAGGAAGAGGAATCTGATGAGCAGGATGATGAGGAGGAGGATGGAGAAGGGGAGGAAGAGCAGGAGTTGGAATGGGATGTCAAAGGGAGAGATATGCGGTGTGATGGGGGGGGGTAGGGGGAAATTGAGGTAGTAGTCGGGGAGGAGGAGGGGGAGGAGAAGGAGGAGGATGAGGACAAGGAAGAGGAAACTGACAAGGAGGAGGTGGAGGATGACGAGGAGGAAGAGGAGAAAGAGGAGAAGGAGAAGGAGGAGGAGGAGGAGGAGAAGGAGGAGGAGGAGGCCCACCAACCAAAACCCGCGAGGCCGAGAAAACACGCTAAAACCGAGGGCCAACGGCCCACCCCAGGAGCCAAGGGGACGTCGGGGGGGGGGCCTCTCTCCCTGTGGCAGCGCAGGCCTGGAGCCTTCGGCACGCCTGGAGCCTGTAGAGTGCTCAACCTTGAAGTTCAGCGAATCCTCGAGCTTGCCCAGCTCCGATTCGCTGAACACGAGGCCTGATCCTCCATCTTCGACACCTGCTTCACCGCCTGCGGCTGCGGGTCGTCCATGAGACCTCCAGGTTGAGCCTCGCTCTCATCCTTCTTCTTGACGGCGCGCTTCGTGAAGCAGCGGACCTTCTCGAACTGCGTCGTCGTCCAGCAGGCCAAGCTTCTGGAGCTGCGCTGCGCACTCGCCGAGCTGCGCCATCAGCATCTCACTGTCGAGCGTGCTGTACTCTACGTTCTGCCCGCTCATGCTGTCCAACCCCGACTGCTGGGGGAGATTGGCCACGAAGGTCGCCGCCTTGACGTCCTCGTATTGCAGCGACGTGCGGATGTCCAGCCCCTCAATCTTCAGCTTGCTGAGGCCGTTCTTCCCCTTCTTCACTGCCGTAATGTTGATCACCTTGCATGGTTGACCCTTGGTCATGACCATGTTGCTGATCTTGAGCTCACCCCACTTCTTCCCCGTCAGGAGTGCAGGCACGGCCTCCTCGAGCGCCTCGTACGAGTGCTCGATGCTGGCCGTGATGTTCTTGTCTGCGTCGCTGTCCTCGCCGGTGCTGTAGAAGTCCGTGCCACACGCATGGCCACGTTCAACCACGAGATTGGGCAAGATCCTGTGCTTCTTCATCTCGCTTTGGTCGCAGCCGTCACCTGCTACCTCGCCCACGGTGCTCCTGCGGCTGCGGTGACACTCTCTCGGCCTTCTCCTTCTTGTTCTTCTCGGACTTCTAGTCCTTCTTGTCGTTCTTGTTCTTCTTGTGGTGCTTGCTGATCTCCGAGCTTGTCGAAGCTGTCCTCCGACGTCTCCGCGATCGCGAGCGCCTCCTGTCCACGGTCTGCAGCTCCTCCGTCTCCGCCGAGGCCTTCCCGCCGTCCTTCATCATCATCTCCTCCCCCATCGACTGAGCCCGCTGCAGGCTGTGGTGGTACGAGTCCAGCTCGCGCACCTCCTCCTGCCTTCACACTTCCTCTTCCGTCAGCGTCACCTGCGGCATGGCCCCACGCCACACCTGCGGCACCTGCGGCTCCCCCCAGTACCCCGGCGGCGGCTCCTGGACCACCTCCGTGAGGGCGGGGAAGATGGGCGGCTTGATGGGCATCGCCTTCGGCAACGGCGCCATCAGCCCTGGGGATCCTCTCCTCCTCGGTGGTGTGGTTGGGACCCTCGTTCCCATAGCTCAGCACCATCCTTACCTCCACCTCGTCGATGTCCTTCACCTCCTGCGTGAAGCGCTGCGCCAGGCCTGCGAGCGCCTGCTGCGCGCCCTTGCACTCCAGCAGCGCCGAGGGCAGGAGAAGCCGAAGGAGCATCAGGCGACCGCCATCCGCTCCCGCGCGCTGCGCCGCTTCCAATCGCGCGTGCGGCACCCCAGGCCCCCGCCTCAGGGGAAACGGCTAGGAGGAGGAGGAGGAGGAGGAGGAGGAGGAGGAGGAGGAGGAGGAGGAGGAAAAGGAAAATGAGGAGGAGGAAGATGAGGAGGAGGAGGAAGAGGAGGAGGAGGAGGAGGAGGAGGAGAAGCCGGAGGCGGAGGCGGAGGTGAAGGAAAGGCGGGGGAGGACGCGGAAAAAGGAGGAGGAAGAGGAGGAACAGGAGGAGGAGGAGGAGCAGGAGGAGGTGGTGGCGGATGATAGGTAGAGGTGGATAATGATGATGAGGAGGAGGAGGACAGATAGAGGGAGGATATGGATCAAGAGGAGCAGCGGGATGATGATGAGGAGGAGGAGGAGGGGGAGGAGGGGGGGGGGAGGAGGAGGAGGGGGGGGAGGAGGGGGAGGAAGAGGAGGAGGAACAGCAGCAGGCGGGGGAGGCGAGACTGCCTGCCGCCTTCCAGGACGCCTCGGACGAGATGCTCTTGGGGCCATACCGTGTCAACCAATCCTTCTGGGAGGTGTCTAAGGCGATGGTGCCCGTCCTCCTCGTCCTCCTCGTCCTCCTTGTCCTCGTTGTCGCCTTCGGTGATTCCATGCGTCAATGCATCCAGTCCTCCTGCGTCCCTGCCCCCTCTGTCCTTCGGGCCTCTCGGCCCGACGGGTGGTGGCCAGCTGGGAGTGCCGCCCCGTGGCTTGCGAGTAAACAGAGAGCGATCTCTGTCGAAGCTCGGGTAAATTTCTTATCTTGTTATCCACATCGCGCCAGTCCCCACTCGTCCCGAGCTACCGTTGTGATATCCACACCTTCGTCTTCGTCGTTGTCGTCCTGCTCCTTCTCGCCCTCCTTCCTCCCTTCACCTCCTCCCCCTTCATCCTGTCTCTCTCTCTCCCCTCCTTCTTCCCTCGTTCCCTGGTGGCTCTCCTTCCTGGTTGCTCCGCCTGTTTTTTTTTTTTTCCTCCGCATGGTGCGTTACTTCGTGATGAGCCCCTCGCGCATGGCGCGCTTCTGACTTGCAATGTATTGCTCTACTCAGCTGCGTCCGCAATCGACTTGGGGACGGCGAGCCTTGCTGCCCCAAGCGGCCTGCATCGCTGTCATCGGCGTTCAGGTGGTGGTGGCCTTTTCAGTGCTGGTGTCCAGCCATTCGTGCCCTGCGCCGCTTTCGCTGGCGTGCCGGCGGATGTCGCCGCGTTTCGGCTTGGAGTTGAGGTTGCCGTATTTCGCTTCGCAGAGGACACGACTTCTTCGGTCACGGCGTGGCAGGTTGCAGGCAGTAAGTATCGTGACTCCACGTGATGGTGGCTCTGTGCCCCTGTGCGTGTCGAACGAAGCATTTGACGTGTTTTTTCTTTTTGGAGCCTCGATGCGCTTGGTTAGGGCCGGGGTGGTGCTGGGCTGCGACGTGTTCGCTGCGTCCTACGATGTCTTAAGTGCTCTGCGCTTCCTCGTCGGCTCGTGGTTGGAGGGGCACAAGCTCATCCAGAAAATAATCGCAGACAAGTTGTCTTGATAGTGGCAGTGGAGAGCGTGCACCAGAGAGGAGGGACAACAGTCAAATCGAAGCTAGGATCTGCCCGAGCAGCCTCCAACAGCGACTAACCTTCAACCCTCTTTTGAGGCCGTCTTGGAGCTCTCTTGGCGCCCTTCTTCGAACCATTCGACGGCGCTGTCGGTTGCACGGCAGCGCGCCGATGTTTTCTCGTTTTGTTTTTAGCTGTCTGTTCGGCAGCCAAGATCCGGCGGTGCCCTTGGAACCTTTCGGAGCCATCCCAGAGGTCATCGGCTAAGTCGGCGGGGGGGGTTGGCGATGCCGATTTTTTTCATCCTCCGGGCCAAGCATCAATCGTAACTGTTATCTGATCTTATTATCATGCGTGTCAGTTCTTTGGGTCATCATCATTATGATGTATTTGATTCCGATTATTCGCACCCTATTTGTGCTATTATATCCGTTGTCTCCGTGGGTAACGCATGTTGCCTCCCCCAGCCCCCCCTCCCCGAAACGGCAACGCTTGAAAAATCGGCCGCAGGAGGAAGTCCGCCGCACCAGGACGTCGATTTTAGCCCCCCCTGGCGCCCGAGCGCCCGAAATCCACGTCCCTGAGCGGCGGGGGGGCCGCAAGAGGGGGCTCCTAGCGGTCCCGAGCTTCACCTGGACGCGGGAGGCAGCTCCGCCTCGCGACCGCGCGCCGACGCCCGCGACAAAACCCCCGGCGGCCGCCCGCGCCCGCCACGGGCGCCGCTGGGGCGTCGCTTCCAGGGCGGTTCGAATTCCCCTATTCGTATTTATTGTTTTATATCTATTGTTTCATGTTTTCGTACCCTGTGGTCCCGAGCTTTCCCCTGTCTGCGCGCCCACCACCTCCCAGGGACGTAGATTCTGAGGGCTCCGGTGCTGGGGGGGCCGAAACCGAGGTCCCCGTGCCTTGGGCGGCAGCGCGCCCGGCGGCCTCGGCAAGGCCTCTGCGGGGCGTCTACTAGTATTATGAAATTTACTAGTATTACTACTGCTACTATTATCCTAACTATTACGTTTGCTATTACTATTGCTCTTACTAGTACTATTCTTATTATCACCAGTACCTTACTATTACTGTTACTATTACTATTACTGTTACTATTACTATTACTATTACTATTACCTCCTATTCCTATTACCTATTACTATTATTTTTACTAGTACTACTACTATTACTATTACTATTACTATTAATTACTACTATTACTATTACTATTACTATTACTATTACTATTACTATTACTATTACTATTACTATTACTATTACTATTACTATTACTATTACTATTACTATTACTATTACTGTTACGATTACTATTACTATTACTATTACTATTACTATTACTATTACTATTACTCTTACTCTTACTATTAATATTACTATTAGTATTACTATTACTATTACTATTACTATTACTATTACTGTTACTATTACTATTACTATTACTATTACTATTACTATTTTCATTACTATTACTATTACTACTACTATTACTATTACTATTACTATTACTATAACTACTACTACTATTACTATTACTTTTACTATTACTATTACTAGTACTAGTACTATTACTATTACTATTACTCGCACTGTTACTGCTACTGTTACTGCTACTATTATTATTACTACCACTTTTATTTTTACTAGTACTATTATTATTACTAATACTATTATTATCACTATGACTATTACTATTATTATTATTATTACTATTACTATTACTACTACTTTCTGTATTTCTACGACAACAGCAACACGTATTATTATTACTACTGCAACTACTACAACAACGACAATTACTTCGACTACGATTATTATTACTATTACCACGATTATCATTACTACGACTACTACGACTACTTCTTCCAGTAGTATCCATGTTACCATTACGACTACTTCTACAACTCTTACCACTACTACTTCTATTACAAGCACTACTTCTACTTCCACAACTAGTAGTGCTACAACTACTACCTCCAAACTATTACGACGACGATGACTCCTAATGCTACTACTACTACCACTTCTAGTACTAGTAGTAATATTTTTACTACTACTACTACCACTCCTGCTGCTATTAATAGTACTACTAGTACTACTAGAAGTAGTACTAGTACTACTATTACTACTATTTCTACGACTGTCATTGCTACCAGTATCACTACTATTATCATTATTACGACGACGACGACGGTACTTACCTCTAATACCACACATTATATTACGATTATTATGCTTATTATCATTCTTACTTTTAGTATTTTTTCTACGAGAGATTTTTTCTTCTACCCATCCTACTACTACTATTCTTGCTACTCGTACTATTCGTATACTTGTTATTGTTATTACGACTATTACCATGACTATTACTACTACCACCATGACTATTACTACAGTGACTACGACTACTACTACTACTACTACGACTGCTACGACTGCGACTACGACTACTATGGCTACTACTACTACTACTACTACAACCGCTCCTACTACTACTACTACTATCACGGATACTACGATTACCACTACTACTATTATCATTAGCTTCGTCTACTATTGCCACCGCTATTTCTACTACTACTACTTCTTTTATTAGTACTACTATTACTTCTACGCTACATTACATTATAGTACATGGCATTACATCGTACTTCGTTACGTTTCATTACATTACATCGCATTACATTACATTGCAGTACATTGCATCCCATTAAAGTACATTGCATTGCATTGTATCACATTTTACCCCATGACATTGCATTGCATTGCATTCCATTGCATCCCATCCCAGTGCATTTTCTTCCATTGCTTCACATTACATTACATTACATCAAATGACATGACAGTACAGTACAGTACGATACATGACATGATATGGCATGGCATGACATGACATGGGCGTACATTACATCATATCATATTACCTTACGTTACAACACGTTACATTACATCACATTACAGTACATTACATGACGTTACAATACTGTACACAACATTGCATTACATTCCGTCACATCACATTACGTTACATTCCATCAAATCACGTTACACTACCTTGCAGTACCATACATTCCATTCCATTACATTGCAAAACATTATATTACATTACAACACATTACATTACCTTACATCACATTACATCACATTACACCACATCACTTTGCAATACACTACATTACACTACATTACACCACATTCCATTACATTCCACTGCATTACACTACATTCCACTACATTCCACTACATTGCACCACATTACACTACACTACACTACATTACATTACACTACATTACATTACATCACATTACACCACATTACAGTACATTACATTACATTGCATTACCTAACATTATAGTACATTACATTGCATTACATTACATCACACTAACTGTTCCTATTATTATTACTACCACTTTTATTTTTACTAGTACTATTATTTTTCTAGTACTAGTATTATCACTATGACTATTTTTATTACTACTAGTATTACTACTATTAGTATTACTACTACTTTTTGTAATTCTACGACAGCAGCAACACGTATTATTACTACTACTGCAATTGCTACAACAACGACAATCACTTCGACTACGATTATTATTACTACTACCACGATTATCATTACTACGACTACTACGACTACTTCTTCCAGTAGTCTCCATGTTACCATTACGACTACTTCTACTACCCTTACCACTATTACTACTACTACTACTACAAGCACTACTTCTACTTCCACAACTAGTAGTGGTACAACTACTACTTCCAAACTATTGCGACGACGATGACCCCTACTGCTACTACTACTACCACTACTAGTACTAGTAGTAATATTTTTAATACTACTACTACCACTCCTGCTGCTATTCATAGTACTACTAGTACTACTAGACATGGTACTCGTATTATTATTACTACTATTACTACGAGTATCATTGCTACCAGTATCACTACTATCATCATTACTACGACGACGACGACGGTACTGACATCTAATACCAC